GGGGAGGGGAAGGGAATGAAGGGAGGACAATGAAGCAGATATCAAACCTATTATAATTTTAAACAATAACTTGATTAAAGAGTCTCCAGGAGAATTTTAAAGCAGCGCTTGGCAGTAGCCTGTTAATATTACGAGATGAAACCTGACACCAGAGTCGTCCCATCATTACGTCCCCTCTACGTTGAATGTGTTTCCTTGAATACTAACTCCAATGTCATTATCCTGGTCATTCGTGCTGTCTCTCACCCTAGCTACTGCTGTAGCTTTATACTATAGCCGTATAAAATGCTTAGAGCTCAGTAATGGCTGCTCCTGTCTAACAGCGCTCCCAGGCCCAGAGTATCAGATTCATCTTCAATAAACTCTTGACACCGGCATTCGGTGGTGTGTAGTGTTGCCAAATTTCAAAGTTGATAGAAAAATGAGTGCAAAATAAATAAACAGCAAGTTTTTGGCGAAAATAATAAATGTAGCCACCCTGGTTTAGAAAACAGGCTAAGCCTTTGAACAGTTTTGTGTTAGAAAAGACAGACTGTTTGAAAGAGATCCAGGGTAAACGTTTTTGATGGAGAGAGATGCACAATAAAAAAGGTGACTTTGTCTTTCCCATTAAACTAGCACTCTTTTCTGACCTCTCCTGTCCATTTGGAGACTATTCCATGTCTTATTAGGTTTGTTTTTCAAGTTAGCAGCATGGGAGGGGCAAGTGGCGACACATCCTGAAATGAGAGGGCATCAAGATGCTCTGCGATTAATATGTAAAAAAAAGTTATTTGTACCAATGATAGTCTGCAGGATGATTTAAAAAAAAAAAAAAAAGCTGACAAAAGAGCCTTCTCAGCTGGACCTCAAACACTCAGTGAAGGATCTGGCCAAGAGGAAACAATCCTCTGTCCATTCAGTTGTAGCTGTGGTCCTGGGAATAAGGAGGAGGCAAACATAGCTTGCTGCAGGGTTTGCTTTTACAGCAGACCTTTAAGAGGGTCTTTCATGGTCTGGCTGGCATAGAAAGTGTCAGGTATCTTGTGATGAATGGAATCCCTATGGAAGCGTTGACTGTAAATGGGGAGAGCTCCAGATGGTGTTGGTCAGGCACAGATTCACTGAACCCAGCAGAGCAGTGTTAGTTCACGTTCACTGCCAGTGGGCTTGCTATCAGTTCAGAAGGTTTTCCTGGGACTCTCAGAAGAACAGGCCGTTATGGAATTTTTGTGTTTCTACATCTGGTTGGATGTTGATTTTTCTGATTTTCAGCAGCAACCTTGTAAGGGGGAAGGGAGAAGTCTTTCCTCTGCCACTGTTCCCTCCAACTATTTGTCCAAACAGTGGGAAACTGCAGGAAGGAAGACACCAGTCAAAGTTGATTGATTGACCAAAATTTTTAGAAGGACAAATCTTATCAGGAAGGTTATTTCCCTATGTTTGCTAGATTTGTGTCAGCATGACATTGTGCAGAAGAGCAAGGTAAATCAACCCAGGTAAAGCATCATAGCAGTGCAGCTTGACTGCTTCCGGTATTCAAGCTGCTTTCTGGAGAGCTGGTGCCATTTGGTCTCCATAGCAATGCACTGTGTTGTGCAGAATTGCTCTCAGCATGTGTATAAGAACCTTATCTAGATCTCTACTAATCCTCCAACAGGTCCAACACAGGGACAGCAGCACAGAGGAAATAGTGTTGAACAATATCGTTCCTGAAATCACACCCCTTCCCAGCAGAATCTGTAGCAGAATCCCTGTTAGTGCAGCAAGGCTCTCTAGCCTGTGTTACCTAACCATTCTCCTTTTCCTCTTTCTCCTCCTCTCCTGCCATCCCAAATACATCTAGGAATTTATTCTGGTAAGGCCCAAAAAGACATGGCAAGCTTCTTCCATCTTCCTTTTCTCTCTGAGGGAGGGAGTTAGCCCCTCTGAAATACTGTTAGACTCTTGACTGTGTACTCTCAGGTGAACTCTCCAACACTGTGCAGAAATTGGGCTAGCTTTCTCTAATCTATCATCTCTCTCGAATGCAGAAAAACTGACTTCACACAGAACAAGCAATTGCTCTGGTGGGAAAATACATTGAATTTAATAAGGAGGAAACAAAGAGAAACCTTATCAGTAGATTTCTTGGAAAACTCTAGGCAATTCAGTTAAAATCTAAGTAACTTAATTAATTGAAAAGAAATGGAATTCCTTGCTACAGAATCATTTTTTGAAAATATTTTGGGTTGCTATTCTTTGAAATTCTACAGGCTGATATTTGTATCTATAAATGGGTTACTATTTCTATTACACTTTTCTTGGAAGGTAGAAATAGAAAAGACCTGTTTCACTACCAGGTTAACTCTCTCTGCCTATGCTTGATTGTAGTTTGTAGATTGTTAGAGAAATTTAAGAACTGGGGCTAAGAAAGTATTTGCTTGTATTCTGTGTTGGTCTGTACTATGAGTGGATAAACACAGAGCAAACACTAGTTTCACAAAGTCTCTATTTGTAAACCAAATATGAAAAATCTAATTCATATGACTGTGATGATGATAGGATTGGGGGACTTTTCTGGAGGACTGCCATCATATTTATGAAGAAGAAAATGCAGAGAGCAGAGTTCTTTCTGCTAAGTGTACTTGCTTTGCAGTGCTCATTCTATCCTTTACTAAACATTCCTTCCTAAATTTTCTCAGCTCCCATCAACTGCAAAGGTGCCAGTCCTTCTTTATATCTAAAGTTAGATACATCTTTGTTCATCACAGGTATAATTATAAATGTTATTCTATGGACTAATAAATAACGTTCTCCAATCTTAATATTTTTTTCCCTGAGTAAAGGGGAGCACTTGGAGAGGCAGTAAAGAAAAAATTAGTGTAGCTGTGTGTGTTCTCAGTTCTTTTGCTCCAGTCATTTGCCATGTGTAGAATATTTAGCGTCAAGAGATCAGACCATGAACATGAGGAAACCACCTTTACTGCACTTACCTTTCTTGGAATATGGTGCAGAATCACAAAGCAACTTTGCTTTTTTGGAAAAAGAGTTAAATTGGTTGACAAGACATTACGTGCTCATGTTTGATGAAATAAGTCTTCATTTTTATCACATGATCAACTTTTTTCATGTTAATTAACATTCCTACAACACAAATATGGCAATGCAGCATTCCTTCCCGAGACCTGGAACTGTGTTTTGTCTTCAACTTCTTTCTTTCTGGAAGCAAAGTTTAAATTATAATGTTCTTGATCTTAAAATAACATAAACCATGGTCTTTCTGTGATAGTATTGAAATCCAGAGCTGCTTTTCCTTCTAGCCTGTTTAGATAGTCTAACAGTTTTTCTTTTGGAATCAGAAATAAAATTGCAAATTTCAGGAGCATTTTTTGAATGAAACGCTGACTTAAAAGAAAAATGCAAAAAGTACTCACGCTAGAGCCATGATTCCATAAGGCCAAGAACGGATTTCCAGCCTCTTTGGGCTTTTTATCTCATCAGAAGTCAACACCATCCCGCTATCTGACTCCTGTGTAGCAAAAAGAGAGAACATCAGCAGAATGTTAACTGCTTATGACAGCATGAGACACTTTTTAAGATAGGAATGTCCAGCCAAGGGGAGAGTGTGGAGAAGAGCCAGACTGAAGCACCATTAAAGCCAGTGGAGAAAGGAAGCCAAGGAGCTAATTAAATATCAAATTCCAGCTATTTTATTTTATGATGATACAGCTTCTAGGCATAGGACTTCACCTTATAAAATTGTCTCTAGCTACAGAGCAGATAAAGCAAGGGAGGGGGAATGCAACTTCTTCACCTTGGCCCGTAGAGGCTGGGGCTCCTGGCAATGCAGTTATCAGGGAGAGACTGCCAACAAGTTGGCCATCTGTAGTTGTTAAGTTGCGGTGTTATACACTGATACTCGTGTACTGGAACTAATGTAGGGGCTACCAGCTATTCTACATAATCTCAAGGTTTTGGACATTACCAGGTAGAGATGGATTCCAACATGCAACCCAGCAGGCAAATGTTTGTATCAAGGCTCTGAAGTGTGTGCTATTTAGTGAAGTGCTTAATGCATAGATATGTCCAGTTGGTATACGCAGTTCAGCCCATTCTTCTGACTGTTAAGCAAGACCTATATCATCAGTCTTTATCAGGCTAGTCCTAATAGTGCTACTAAAATTTTTGAGCTGTCTTTAAATGAATATTAATGTACAGATATCCAAACAGTGTAACGCTAATAGATTTTTGCATGTTTTTTCTTGTATTTTGAAAGAGCATCCTTAAAATGAACATAAACCATGCTTTTTTATGAAAGCATAAAACAATTTCCGTATTTTCAAATGTGAAATTGATATTATCCTCAGATTACAAAGTACCTGAAATACCTACTAGAAATACACTGTCTATTAGAAACACTGAAATTTTAAGGAAGTGGCCGTTTAGTATCGGTTTGGCAAATCCAGGTGCCTTGCAATGATATATAGCCTGCAGGGCTCATTGTACGTGAGTAATGAAATTTTTATTAGCTGTCCAACAAAACTATCTTGGTTAGGTTTAAGGTGGAGGCTGTGATTCAGCTGCACTTAAAAGCTGAGTCTAGAGGTTGCAGTTAAGATCAGGCTGTTATTGTGCAAAGTGCTACTGAAGTTCACAGACAGGCGCTGTCCTTGTTTTAGGTAAATTCAAAAATATGGCATGAAAAATGTTCTGGGGGAATCCTTTGCATCTGACATATTTCCTGATCCTGGAAAGCAGCACAAACAACAAACATGCTGTCCATCAAAACCAAGAAGGGAAAAGACTTAAACATGGCAAGTGAAACTGCCATCAGCCTTTTTGTAGTATTCAGATTGATTGAAATGGAACAAATAATCAGTGAACAATAAATAAAAAGAAGATTCTTAATATTTTTTGGTAATATATCAGTTGTTAATACCTGTTAGGAAACTGTTTTGCAATGTATAAAGTAAAATCCTTAGTTAATTAGTCTGTCAGAAACTCAAGTCGGTAGCACCAAGGATTTCTCTTTCTTATCTTGACTGTTTCCCCTTAACATATGTTGTCTAGAAATAATTTATCTGAATTGCTGCTTTTCATTTAGCCTACAGAAAAATTATTAAGAAACATTTCAAATGCAGGAAGGTGCGGTGCAGCACTTCAAAAGTTCCTGGGCAGCTATCTCAAATAGTGACCTAATCAGTATTAATGTCTTGGTATTTAAGTTAATTATAGTAATTCAAGTGCACTTAACTCCATCCAAAAGTAGATGACACCACAATTTTGCTCTAAAAGATTCCCACTGCATTGCCACATTCACTTTGGAGTTGTTAGTGTATTACCCTTTTCTGAGACTTAGGGGAAAATTCTTCCTCCATGTATGGACTTTAGAAATGCCATGAATGAGGAAAGCAGTGCTAATGCTGACAACGGTAATCTCTTAGTGATACCAGATTTGTCCAGTAAATGTCTTTGTGTGATTCAGAGGGAGGGATTTTTATCCCACAAAAGGGAAGAGGCAGGAACCGGAGAAAATTCTAAGCCTTCTAATCCCTAAGATGCACTGATAAAGGCACCAAAATTGCACTCAGCAAAGTAGTGGGAAATAATGGGCATCAATTCTGAGCTGACAAGGGAACAGATGAGAAATACACTGTATTTGTCAAGAACACAAAATACGTCCAGGACAAGCTGTAGCTAGAGATTTCACCCTGCCTAAGAGAGGGTATATGATTTGGTTTGAGAAATGGCTGTCTGTTCAATAGGGAATGCTAGCTGGAGAGCAGAAGACTGTTCCGGGACTAGCAGAGCAGACAAACTGGCATGTTTCCACAAAACTCTACACATCTTTTGTTTCTTTTGCTGCTCCTAGCCAGCAAATACTTACCCTCTTCCTATGTTAGAAGGTTTCCTGAGGGCTTCATGCTTCCTCCCTAAACGTCTATCTGCTTCAAACATGCATTACAAGGTTTCCTCCTTAGTGGCACAGAATCTGTCTTGAGATAAGTACTGTGGAGCGCATATGACACTGAAGCCAATGAGCACCTCAACCATAGAGGAAATTCATGAGCTTTTTTTTTTTAATAAGGAAGAAAAAATTGAAAAAACCTCACTCTTGGAACCTGTAATTTCAGAGGAAACCAACAAGCAGAACCATCCTTCTACAACAAGACAAGCTTTTGCTCTCCACTGGAGTGAAAATGAAACATTTCAACTACCTCCCACCCTACAGAGCTGTTAACCTAGCAATAAAACTGTTCTCCTAAGGTGGGGAAAATCCAGAGTTAAAGCCCTTTGTCTGATTCAAGTAAAGCAGGAACCTGAATCTTGGTCCTGTCTATCCAGCAATCTGTTCTGGACACACTTCCACCAAACGGCTATGTTTCAATGAAGGGTAAATTTCTTATGGGGAAAAAAACCATACATTGAAATATATTCCTGACCAGCTGTAACATAAAGCTCATTAGCCTGATCAGAGCTAGAATAATCATTCATGAGCTTCTCTTTAAATTATTCATTAAACAAAATGCAGATTCTTCTTTGTTCTCTCACAGACCTATGTGTCCAGCCCTAGGGTCTAATCTTCTGCTTGATTTAAAGCTTTTTCTTACCAAACACAGCTTGCAAAAGCTCCAGTAACTGTTTCTGGTGCTGGTGACAACCGATCTGTGAACCTGGCAGAGAAGGATGCGATCACTTCACTTACCTCATGCATCACTTTCTCCTTTTCTACTGGCACCTCATCAAATGTCTTCACACTGAGTGGTCGCTTCTTGCTGTTGTTACTGAAAGCAAGAAAGTTGAGTGGTCAGCATAAAACCCAAGCAGATGCTGCACCAGTCAGTAGCTCAATTAATGTACCAGACACAGCTCAATTTCCATACCAGACTTCCTTTCTCATCTCTTGTAATTAATAAACAATGCATTGACAAATAGTATTCAAATCTGTGTCAGGAACGATGACTCTGTCTTGGAGCTCTTGCTAGTACCTACTTATCTATTCCATCTTCACCACAGACACCAGTGGTTTATAAAGTCAAAATTGTGTTCCTTGGTTTTATTTTTATTTATTAAATACAAAACACTGAGCATCCAAGATAGGAAAATCCTGAGACGTAATATATATTAATGCTGAATGGAAGTACGGCATTTACTGTTATGATTCTCCTAATACCTATTAGGACAGATGATGGCTCTAACCATCTCTAGCTTCATTTTGGAAAATGAGTAACATTGTCTTTAGCCTCTGTTCCATAGGAGCAGGTACAGAGGGAAACTCAGCGCTTCAGGAAGATCACTCCTCCCCAGAATCCTCTCCCAACTATACAGACGGGGTGGGGGAGAATGAATGAGGTAAGTGGTAAAGAAAGCACGAGAAAGGGGTTCAGTCATTCCTGATGCAGGGAAGATAGATCACTTGCAAACTTAGAACATCACACAGAGAAGCTTCACAGTCAAGAGCCCTCAAACAAGTCAGACTCTATCCCCCAGCCTCGTGTCACCTGAGCTGATGAGCCATGAATGTGTCTGTCAAACTCCTTTAAAACAGTAGTTTTGAGAAAGGACAAAAAACAGTGCCCAGCTGTAGCAAACCTTTCTCTCTCTCTCATACACTCGCACACATTTTTCTTACCCAGTTTCTACTGCGCTCCAGCGGTTAACGCAGTTGTTCAAATTTTCTTCCACTGGGCAGGTTTTGGAGTTAGGTTCTCCATCAGGACACAACGTGATGTTCAGTGGAATATAGTCTTTACCATCCTATTTAATTAATAGCACAAAAGAAAACAAAGCTGGTAAAGATCATTTTGCACTGCATCCCAGCTATTAAATGTTCCATTCTGTAGAGCTTTACACTGAGAAGGGACTATGTTTTATTTTGATTTTAGATTTTGATTTCTTTAAAGTGATTAGGATGTTCTTTGCAACATGTGGAAGTTAGAACGTGTAGCTTCACTCAAAATATTTCTTGTGTAGGAGGCTTTGCATGAGGAAGATTATTCACTTTGGGATATCTACCAAGCAGAATAATTGAAAACTTCCTCTGAAGTTCCAGTGCTCAGCTGCAATTAACTTCTTTGCTCTTCCAGGCATCTCACCCTGATCTATTGCTTCATCGGTCTTCCTAGCACTTACAAGACTTCTAAATGTCCCTCACATATGGCACTGCAAAACAATGGTCACCCTGAGGGTGTCTATATATGTGCACCCACTTTAAAACAGCTAGCTTTAGTGACTCGCAGCAGCATCTTTGATGAGTTTGCAGGCATTTCTTCATTACTGCCATGTTCCGAATGTGCAACTATTCTGCCCCAGCAAAGTTGAACAGAAGCCCACTGATTTGCACTTAAGGAAAGCAGTCATCTACATTTTCATTGTGTTGGCATCCTTGGGGATTCAGGGGGACCGGTCTCATGGACACCTAACTCCAAGTTTAAGCCCCTGTGTTTGGGAGCAGGGAGGGAGCAGCATGAAATCACAAAGCACCTATCGCTGATGCAGCTGTAATGGATTGTGGAATTGGAAAAAGAATATTGCCTACATAAATTGATTTTTGCTTATGTTCAACTCAAGGACTACAGTTTAGCAAGAGCCAGTCCTTAATACCGTAGCCGAAAAATGTTATATTTCTTGACTTTACAAAAAATCAGTGCTGGGATTGGAATTCAGTAATGGAATTCCTTACACATTTTAAAAGCTATGCATTGTCATCACAGCATTGCAGTAATCTTTAGAAATGACTCTTTGGTTAAGTCCTAAAACTACTTGTCCAGCTTTCACTTTGCTTGATTTTTTTTTAATTCTGAGAAGCAATTAAGTGCCCTATTCCCTTATCAAGATTCTTGCATCTCCTTAATTTCCTTTGGCTACACTATAAAACTCTTAAGCTCTTCACATGGCAAACTGGGCCCTCTTAGCTTCACTTAAATTTGTTTACAAACAGAAAGGAGCTAAAGGAGAGTGTCTGAGTTCTTCTTAAATTAAATTGACAGTTATATAACTGGTCTGGTTGTTTTCACTCAAGAAGAAAAAAATTGATTTAGCTATTATGAAATTAATAATTATGTAGTTGACTTTCTGAGCTTTAAATTGCATCATTTTAAAGCTCCTAAGAGCACTGATGAACATAAGCTCAGAAAATGAGAGAGAAAGTGCAGACGAACTATTGGCAGTTTACTGTGCTGGAATCTAATTAAAATTGTTTGTGAGATAAAGCGCTATTGTTCCTCTAAGGGGCAACTGAGCCCTTTTTTAATTATTGTACTATAAGTTTCTGCTTATTATGGATGGATAAACATCCAATTTTGAAATATAATCCCCTTTGAATAGGTAACATTTTCTTTACTCATCCCAGCAGCCATATTCCTTGTAACATCTGTTATGAAGTCAAAGCTAATTCTAGTGCTCAACATAGTCTTTACCTGTGCACATGTACACACATACATACACATCTATATATGTACACATTCCTTTAAGAAATGTTTGCATTGTTGTACCTGCTGTACATTTGCCTGAAGAAGGTCTCCTAAACGCTCCACGAGCTCAGTGAAGGTAGGCCTCTCTGTGGGTACTCCATGCCAACAGTCCAGCATTGTTTGGTAGCTACATAAACACACAGGTATCAAAGAAAAAGAAAAGGATAAGGTCTTTGCTTCTAAGCTGTTTTCTTACTGCTACTGCTTGTCTGGGTCATCATTCAGACAGTTTTGGATAAAACCAGGTTCAGATCTGCTTGTGCTCAGATTCTATTCTACTTTCCACACAGAATGCTTTTTCCTTCTATATTTCTGTTTCAACTGATCCAGCAGGTTTTTATTTTCACCTAACTTTAAATTTGAATGATGGGCCCCAGTCATGTTGCTGAAGTAGGTCGTAGTTATGGATGCCTCGTTTCTGTCACAAAATTGGAAATCAAGGCAGATACGGTAGTGTCCTGAACTGAGATTCACAAGCTACAGCTGACATGGGGATATCTGTCAACCCCCTCACTTGGCAAAGGTCATGGCTTGGTCTTTCTTTAGCATTGGTCCGTGGTATCAGGATACCCAAGATTTGCACAACCACAAAGTTTACTAAAAGAAAGTACAGAATATATAGCTACCATCTGATGAGTTCTCCTCCCTTATACTCACTTAAATGCAATGTCTTTTGTGATACTTAAATGGCATTTGTCAGCTCTTAGTACAAAAAGAGGAGCACTTACACTTCTGGAGTAGAGTACTCCGGAGATCTCATCCGGGTTCCTTCTTTGAGCCGGCGGCAAAAGTCTTCATCTATCTGCACGCCAGGGTATGGTGAGGCACCTGATGGAGAAATCCAGAATGGCTCAATCACTTTTTCCCAGTCCAATGAAAGAAATACAGTCAATGATAACTGCTGAGAATTCCAGCTTAGCTGGCCTACAGGAATATTGAATTGCTTAACAGGACTGACAAAAGCTTCTTAAAGGTCAAACACACTCTCTTTCGATGGGAGTAATCTGCCGATGCTTAAACATCTTCGTAAGTTTGACCCTTCAAAAAATCACTGAAATACAGAGCGCTCTTTTCAGAAATGGAATTAGTGGCATAGCAGACAAATTGCCCACAGCTTTGAAACATGGACACTCTGATATGAATTCAGCTAGCAAAGCTCTCTGGAAGGTGCGTGCTGATGCTGCCAGTGCACCAGACTATGTATTGCTTTTTAGCAATGACTGAGCAGTCCCCAAAGTTGCTGCAGACGCATCCAATCCACAAAAACATCCCCACATGCTTTCATTGCAAGCCCATTACAGACTAGCTCTTTCTTTCAGAGATTTCAGTCATGCTCTGCATTCATAATATAGCCAGGGCCCCAAGGTGAAACAGGGCAGGAAAGAAATAAATTTTATTCGTTTGAGACTTGAAATGACCTCTTGGTCATTGGAAGGAAAGTTCCAGCTCATTCACCTAGTTATACTGTTTTCCAGACTGCCTGTCTGCCAACATCTTCCACTAAATGAGTACACATGAAGTAAATAAGTCCTGCTAATTATTTATTGCCTCTCTGAGTAAGTATATGTATGCTGTAGGCATCTTACTCTGCAGAAAAGTACAACAAATTCATTGGAAAATGACCTTCAAAATTTTCAACCTTTTTTTCTTTTCTGAGAGTGGATTCAGTACTGCTTATTTTCAGGCCCACTCAATCCTTAGTGTGAAACCAGGGAGGGCGGTTCATGGCAACTGTAATTACCTTTGAGAGGTATACTTCTATAAATGGGACTGGTGATATTATCTTAATTTGCATAAAAGCTGGCCTAGCAGCCATCAAAAGTAGTTGGCCTTCTTTCATGTTCCTATGTAAACAGCTATCTTCAGAGGAAAAGTTGGTAGAAATGTATGCATTCATTGACTGTACTGTTCTTCTCAACAGATGAGAGAGTAGGGGCTTTTCAGAGATTGTGATATTTGCTGTATGACATCTGTACTTCATGTTGCACTGTAAAAAAGGTTAAGAAATTTCTAATCTGGGAAAGTGCCCTAGCCTCTTCCTCAGGAATCCAGATCTCCTAGATAAAATTCGAGAGATGTCTGAAGCTGAAGTCAGAAGTGTTAACTGAACCTATTGTAGATATATCTGAAGGATCTGTAAGCTCTGCTCCCTTCCTCCTCAGCAGAAGTTTCATATGCAGAGCAAACTTTTCTTTCACATTTTGGCATTCTAGAGGCTGGATGGTGAATTTGGAAGAACATTTAATCAGGTCTTAACATAGGAGCTTGAATGGAATCTGGATCTATAACCAGGCCTTGAGGAATCTGTGTATGATTTACTCTCTATAACATTCCTGCCTCATTTGCTGCATACTTTTTTTCTCTACTTTGGAAACACCATCATGTACTGTGCACTTGGGGGCACAAAAAGCACAGCAGAAATGTTTTGGATGAAAGAACTGAAAAGGGTGCCAAAATGCGGCTGTTCCCAGAATTATTCAGCTCTGTGAATCTGACCACTCAATCTGCAAAACTATGCACTGGGGGCAAAAACACTGGCAACTACCTAAGAGGGCATCTCAGCACAGCAAGGAGGCTCAGATGACATTCAGCGCTCAGGCACACTCAGCCACAGCACATCTGAAATCCTTTGGTGTGAAAAATACCATTAGAAGTATCAGATCACAGTATCAGAGTGTTTCCTGGAGTCAGATAGCTGGCAAATATCAGGGAGCATCATTTCTGCTTTGTATCTGGATTTTCCTTCCCTGTTTTGTCTTTGGCCAGGCATTGCCATCATAATAACCTACTGATATATAATGTTCAGCTCACATGGCTTCACCTGTAAGTCAAAGATATCACAGCAGGCTCCCACCAGCTCACAAGATCTCTCTGAATAAACGGAGAGAGACGGAGACTAAGTCACTTTCCCACAGTTACACTGTGAGAAAATGGCAAGCATAGGAGTAGGGTCTGGGAGTATTGACTGTTTTCCAAGCTACTAAACTGCTGCTGGCGTTCATCTCCTGAACTCTCGCTAGCTTGTCTTTTTACCTGTACAAGTTTTATCTTTACAGAGCCTTCAAAAAGCACTGAGGCACCGTGAATACACCTGTGACTTGCCCAGTTGATCCCATATCTGTTTAACAGTGGCACGGCCTCTCAAGAGAAGTAAGCATAAGCCTAGCACTGAAGTGTCAATGTACTGGGGGAGCGCTGAAAACAGCATCCTCCATTAAAGGAAGAGTAGGGCTGCACAGCCGTTCCCATTCCTTTCCAACTGCATTGTGTGATTTTTGTGCCCTCGTATGCAATAGTTGACTGCAGTCAAGTCATTGAGGAGTCATTCCAGCTGTTTTGCACTGACCATTCTGACAAGCACAAGACTCTTCTGCTTTGCTGAGGCTCACTGGTTGCCTCCTGCTCACGGTCACAGCAGAGTTAGTTTACTGGTACGAGCTAGACTTGCAAATACTTGGATTGGGACTGATACACTGAGGGCGACACTTGGTGAGATGGGATAAGGAGGGATGGAGAACTCCACTTGCTCTGGCAATCTTGAGTTACCTTTCCTTAATTATATCATGTGGAAATCAACTGCAGTATAAGGAAGGCAAGAAAAAATGATTCTTGATTGTCAGATCTTTTGGTGGTTTATATTTTGACCAGTGCTAGCCTCCTACGCCTCCTACCAGCTGGAGGCAGCTCAGATCTCAAAAGCAACAAACTAACTCACCCTTCCCCCACCTCCACTCACCACTGTATTTCATCTGGACTTTGTGATGGGCCTCATAACTTGGATTTGGGATACTGAGACAGCTTGGGAGAAATGTAGGTTCAGACATATGGTATAAAGTCTAAACATGACATTTTCCTTAGGGGAAATCTGTTGCAAAATGCTCAAAGATGTGGCATGCATTGGATATGGTATCATTCTTTTGATCTTGCTTTTATTTTAGTAGGATAATAAGATGCTGATGTTATACTACCAGGCACTGCTTGTTTACATAATTACCTTTGATTGCCTTTTGAACACTGCACATTTACATTCCAGGAGACACTGACATTTTGTAATGCGCCACGTAAGTGATTTCAAGATGTATTAAAAATTGCTGGCGTTACCTGACACCAGGTGTTCTAACCCTACTTAAATAATTAGTAGCAAAGCACAATGCAAAACCACCCACAAATCAAAATTAACAGTCCCTCATGCCCACACTTCCCTGTGTATCACCAAAATGAATCCAGTCCACCAGTCTTTCTGGAGGAAGTTTGTAGTGCTTCATTCAACTTCTGACCCTGACAGGACCCAAACCAACCTGTGCATTTTGCTAGTTAGTGTCTTGGCCTTTTTTTAAGAGTGCTAAGTCTGTGGGACCCAGTAAAAAGCAGCAGCTGTAGATGTGGGCCAAAACATACCCTCTAGCAACGACAAATAACTTTCCATCCCCTGGCTTTCAATGATCTGTAAAACTTTTACATAAGAGAGTTCAATCAGTGACACCAATCCTTAATTAAATATTTATCGTGTGAGCTGCAGATGTGAGTAGTGCCAAACCACAGACATGCCTGGATGATCTGTATGAAAAACCCTCTTAGAGAAAATGACTGGCTTTTGAATCTGTGCCATGACTGAAGAAAGTGGTTTGTGATCTACGTCATCATGAGGGCAGAGGCTGTTCTACGGATGGCAGCCCTTGGAGTAATTTAGTAGATTCCTCTGAATTCAGAAGAGGACAGTCTATTGTTCCAACGAAGCATCTTCATTAAGAAAGGAGGCCATATAAAATGAAAAGAAAGTAGCTAAATGATTTTTAAAAGTTAATAATAGAGCTGAATTTCAGTGACTGTACTATTATTTTTATTCACTTTTGGTATTAAAGGTCAAATGGTCAGAAGTTCACATCTGCTAAGCACCGTGAGGACGTTTAGGAATGGCATAAACAGTTTGCTTTCTGAAGTGGTCCTTGCCATTCATCAGTATTCAGTTCATCGGGTTCCTTGGAGATGCCCAATGGAGAGACTGTCCTCTTTGAGCGTGTTTGTGCATGCTAATCCGTGCTTCTTAACAATCTGTTAGCGCTGGGGCATTGCTGGTGCTTCTGGAGCTTCATCTTTCTGTGATATTTCAAAGCACATGCAACAGGTGATGCCCATACAAAGCGATGGAAGTGGTACACCAAAGTAACAAACACTAAATGTATATATGACTGAACTCTGGAGAAAGCCATAACTCCCACTTGTGCATTTTAACCCATTCCCACTTGAGTGGGAAATTTCTCTGTTGCATGCTGATATAAATAAAGAGAAAAGTCCAAATCAAAGACTTGGACTGAAATCACGTTGTGATCTTTGCAGCCAGCCCTAACTAAAGCTTAGGATATGAACAGCTCCGGACTTTGCATCCAGATCTGGCCTTGGCATCTTCAGCCTGATCATTAATTTCAACTGATCCATGAACCAAAGATAGCAAGGGATTACAGAGTTTGCTTTAAAATTCACCAGCTTAAGTTGACACTGCTTCTTGTTTTTTTCTGTCTGCAAATGCTGATTAAGAAGCCAGAAACTGACATTCCTAAATTCCCTCAGGAAAAAAAGACTTGCCACTCTGCAAGGAGAATTTGAGAGCAGCAAAGTCCAACTGTCTGTAAGACTGCTTGTCTAAATTTCAGGGCTTTATCTGCTGGACAGTAACCAGATCCCAGTGAGGCTGAGATTTCTAGCAGCACCAGAAGGAGAGTCTATGGAACATTAAGAACAATAATGCTATTCTTTCAAAAACTTTGTGGCTTGCAAATGATATGGCCAGAAAAGTACGCATTCCACCTGTTTCCTGCCAAAATGACTTACGCAAAGTCTAGCCCTGGTTCTCATATCAACCTGATGGCGGATGTTGCCAATACATTTTTCTTACTTAGAAAATCTTATTTAGATTTTGCGGAGAAGATAATCAAGCTAGGATAAAATGTCATATGGGCAAACCCCCTTGTGTTTCATGGTCTGCCACTAGCAACATCTACCACCGCTATGTCAACAGCAGTGTAATCCTCTGCAACCTTTGGGCTGTGTGGTTTCCCAAAGCAGACTGCTTAGGGGAAAATATGGTTTGACAGGGAAACTATTTCATTGCTCTGAAAGAAATATTTTACTCCAGAGCAACAGAGGTTTGCATTATCGCTACACTCTGTTGGTTTCAATTATTATAAACATCAGTTCCGGGGTTTCTGATTTTGTTTTGTTCCCCTCCCTGCAATATTCACTGCATTCATGTACCTTGCCAGATGGGAGTTCTCATTGACTTCAATCCAGTAACTTTATTTTACACCTGATCTGCACCAGGCACTTGTACTAACTGAAATAGAAACATGGCACCATGTTGTCTTCTTCTCGTTAAAGGCTTTTTACAGCAATAAAGCCATAAATTAGAAAAAAACAAAACAAAACACATGGTTTTAAAACAGTCTTACCTAGAGAAAATATTTCCCAGAGCAGCACTCCAAAAGACCATACGTCACTCTGCGTTGTGTAAATTTTATCAAAAATAGCCTCTGGAGCCATCCATTTCAGGGGAAGTCTTGCCTAAGAATGCAAAAGACATGACACATTGCCAGAATTGTTGTTACTAGGCTGCCTAAGCCCTAGGGGAATAAAAACTTGAGATCAGCAGTTCAAGTTTCTTCCACTTACATCTCCTTTCCGTACATAGTCAGGGTCTTTGTAAATATCCCTGGCTAGTCCAAAGTCACAGATCTTCACCACGTTGTTTTCTGACAGAAGGATGTTCCTTGCTGCCAAATCCCGATGAATGCACTGTGGTGAAATAAGGACAAGCAAGATCAGAGGGTCTCCCTGGACTGGCCACTGCTGGAGTATATAAGACCTCTTTTGGAAAATGAAAGATAAATGAGCTTTTGTTGGGAGCAGGTTAGAGGGGGATAATATATGTGGGAATCTGCTCTAAATATACTGGAAAAGAAAAAATAGGGAACAAGCTGAGAAAAACAGTGACTTGTCAATTTGCAGACTTTTTCTAGGTGAAATAACTTCCATAGTTACGATGAGACTAAGAGCGTGCTGTTTTTTCAGTTAATTATTCTGCAGCAAATTTGGGAGAGGTCCAAAAGCAGCTGCAGCTACATTTGCAAATGCAGTCTCATGAGCGTGCAGGGGACTGGATAACTGCACACAAGCAACTATGGTGCACAGTGTTTCTGTGGGTGCTACCCTGTTAGGTGTGTGGTAAGTGCAAGCTCACAGTTCTGTGAGGACTCTGGCACATGTGTGACATTCGATTTACTTGAAAAGCATGTTTTCCACAGACTACAAGCATATTTGTATTTCTGTCCAAAAGAGGCACTAACATGGCTGAGAGTTGCCAACATTACTGACAAGCTGAATACATAGGTGTATGCTCCCTCTTCCTTTTTCAGAAGTACTTTTGTTGAGCGTACCAGAAGGATCATTCTCTATAACAAAGTTTTTCTGAACTTATAAGACAGTTCTGTGAATGGTCTTGCAATCTGTTTTCACTCCTTCCATCTAAAGTCACATGGCAAATGCCAGTCTTTTTAGCCAAGAACGTGACGGAGATTCCTCCGTAACTCCTTCGTATTACATAACAAGGAGAGTTAACGTCATCTCCAGCACAGCATTACAAATGCAAATAAAAGATTAATCAGTCTTGAAAGTATATTTGGATTCCTTCACATCTGATAGCCATGATTCTATGAAAGAAGTTCAGCCCTGATGTTTTAATAAGCTCACTTTTCTGGAGGCGAGAAACTCCATGCCTTTTGCCACTTGGAAGCTATAGCAAATCAAATCCTCCAAAGTCAGGGGCCTCTTGTACAGATCCTCAGCATCTAGGAGAGATCACAGGCACAGCAAAACAGTACAGCAGCAGCTCTCAAACATTTTCACCATCAGTACCAGTTCCAAGCTGATGACCCCAGCCCTCCCTCTGAATATTGTTAGGTTCATAGGCCTTGTTGTAAGTGCTATAACTCCACTAGAATTACAACTCTGGTTTGGGAGCCACTGACCCAGAGGCAGAATATCAGAACATTTAAAAAGTTCCACCCAACATTAATCACCTCATTTACCACTGGGGAAAACAGCATCTGGGGATAAAAGTGAGGGGAACTATTTATAGTCACTGAGTGGAGAGATTGGGGACAGACTGGCCCCATACATCTGGTAAAATACTGCTATTGCTCCTCCTACACAACAGAAACAACTTTTATACGCACATGCTATTGCAGATCTTTTGTTGTGAGAAAGTTAGAGTGGGGTACAGGGAAGAGAAAGAATTTGTGATCTCCAAAACAAGCCAAGCAGCAGAGTAAGGGCTTGTTGTAAAGTGTGTGACTATATGTGGCAGTGTCTGAAGTTGAGAAAGAAGTAACAGCAATTTTTACAACAAAAGATCTGGGACTAGGTAGGTTTCTTTTACCTTCTTCATCTTCCTCTGAGTCACTGTAACTCTTATCTTCAATGAATCCTGAGCTGGCAGAGCTTCCTGTGCTGGCTACACTCTCAAGGCGCCTCTTGATCAGTTCAGTTAAATCACTGTTGGACTCATCGAGACTTTTCTCTGCTTGGTCAGAGTTTTCCTGGGACTAAAAATGGTATAAAATTGATTTTTAGCTTTGGTGATGCAATGCCTGGGCATTCAAAGATACCTGATGGAATGAAGGTGCTTAATAGAACGACATACGGAGAAGGGTCCTTTGAAGGTGCTCGAAGCATGTTTGAACATGATGATCCCTGAGCGGCAGACTAATGAAGTCTGGTGTCCTACTGATGAGTACAATACCTCCTACTACTCCTACCACAATAGCTTCAGCTCCCCCTGCTTGTCCCATATGAGCTTTCTCCTGCAATATATCAGTTCTCTCCTATATTTTCTTTATGAGGTCTGAGTAAGAGGCAGTCCAAATGGTGGCTGGTTAGCAGCTGCACGTGTGCTGCCTAGCTTGCTAAGGTGGCTTTTAGCTGCCCTGTGACCTTAGCAGATCAACTGAAGGCTAAAGTCTTCTTACCTTTCTCCAGAGTCCGTTAACGTAGCCTCTTTTTTCTATCAGTCTTATGAAAACTGTATAAACTTAATATCAACCAAATTTGACCGATACCCATATCCCACTATAAAAACTGACTTGAAGCTGGCTGGATGAGACTGTTAGATGATCAGAGAGACAGTGTAATTCTGTACACCTTGCTTTCTTAGGGAACTAGGCTAAAAATCACAGTTCAAGGTGTGTGGTGTGATGTATGTACGCTGAAATGAAGCTGTCTCACCCTCCCCAGGATGGTGAGGCATAACTGTCCCTGCAATCCATGGAAACAACGGTGAGAAAAGAATGTCTGAGTGACTGGTCTGAGTACCAGAAAAAGCTCCTTTTCTTACATAAGGTACCTTATGTGCTGTCATGCTTGCGCATAGTATCTTACAATAATAACAGAGTCATCTGAAAAAATTATCTTGAGGAGGCTCCAGTTTCTGGCAGGGCTTGGATCAGAGATGCTGTGTTTCCCTAGTGAAAAGGTAGTCCCATCCTCTCCTTGTGGCCTACTGTGTCTTCCCCTTTATCCTCTTCCAATTTGTGCTAGCACAGACAGTTGTGTGGCTGCACACAACCACTGGGAAAACAGAGCTTTTTCATTTTTGAACTGACCATGTCTGTGATGCAGTTTGCTGCATACTACTACACTTAGGCTGGAACAGTGGAAAGGAGGACACAGCAGGTGGGAATGAGCAGATGAAGGAGAGGGCGAGCTGCTCTTGGTAGCTAAGCAGGGGCAGGTGGGTCTTGAAACAAATAAATACCCAAACCCGGCTTGTATTTGAGAGGGCTCACCTCCTCCTACTTCAGTTCATGCCAGTTTTTCAATGCTTTCTTGGTGCCCCCTTGTGCTGGGTGGCATCTCACAAGAAGTTCCCTTTCTCTCACAAGGGTGCTTGGGTGTTTGCAACTAATTCTTCCAGAGGTGCTGAAGAAGAGTTTGGGAGTGAGATCCTCAGGGAAAAAGTTCCCTTTTCTTGCTCATATGAATTGAAATGTGGCAGGAAATTAAAGTGCCTATATAAATATAGAAAGACAAACTGAACTGTCTCAGTGTCAAGGCAGAACAAAACCCAGCTTGTTGTCAATGGTCATGAATTCTTTGCCTTATGACTACGAGAAGCCTGTTTGTTTCTGTTTTGTTTTGTTTTGTTTTTTGTTATTACCTTGTATGCAATGAAATCTCCTCGTTTTCCTCTTAGATAATTGGACAGATTTCCATATTTGCAGTATTCTACTATGACCATCAAAGGCCCTAGAAAGAGAGTGAAAGTGAAATGAGTTTTGAAGCACAGCAAAGCACTTATTGGTAATTTATCCTCCCAAATCCTCTTCAAAATAGGTAAATATTATCATTCCTACTATAAAGATGAGGAAACTAAGAAACAGAGAAGTGACACTCCAGAAAAACACAGGCAATCAATATTGGATATGGAAGGATGGGAATACAGTGATGATTCTTACTTTTTCCCCATTATAAGAGAACATTTGGCATTTATTCTTCCTCTCTAGACAAAGGAAAATTCAGACTGATAAAGGAGAATATGCAATCCCATATGCTGTTAAGATTGTTTGTCACAGAAAAGTCCTCTTTTTTTCTCTGCTGCTTTTATAAATCTCTTTCTTTGGGGTGGGGCTAATGCCAGTGGAGGCAATGAAATATTTACCCAGGATCACAGACAGATCTAAATCAAAAGTCTGCAAAAATATTTTGGCCATTTGAAAGCCTGGAAAGTCCTGTCAGTTTCTTCCTTTCTTATTTCTGTGCAAACTACTGTAGAGTTCAATGCAACTGCCGGTTTTATACAGTTTTACATGTTTTCAAGACCTGCTTGTGAAAGTGCTTTTATGTTTCATTGTGAGCCAGTAAAGACTGGAAAACTGCATTCTCTACCTTTAGCGCAATCACTGCTTTTTTGCAATCATCAGATGTAGGATGAGGTGAAATCATGGGACTAGAATGCATGCAAACATCTACGATCATCAGTCCTAAGCTACCAGACTCTCATGTGTGGAAACTTTTTTCTCTCTAGAAGCTCTGTACTCAGACTCATGAGTTCCAGCTTCAAAGGAAAAACGCTGAGAGCTGCGCTTGGCTGTTCAGAGAAGAGACAACACTAAGTAACACTCTTATCTGGCTACACCAGAAACACACATACAGACTGGTGCTGCAGTCTAACCACTTGATCCCGTCCGACCTGCGTAACACTGAATGCAGGGCTGAAAGCGGGGCTGTAAGCAAGAGCTGATGGCGGATCAAGGAGGGAGAAGTGAACCTTGATATCTGTTTACTGCATCCCGACTGAGACTCAGTGACAAATACCATTGGAAAGCAGATGTGCCCAATAAAAGGGAGAGGGTGAATTCTAGCAGTAATAATCAACAGCTTGCCGCTAACAACACTCTATACTTCTGCCAGGCTTTTTAATTGTAGAAGTCTTATGGCACTGCTACGTGGGGTGCACACCTTGCGGCTGTCCAGGACTTCCTACTGACTTCAACTGTAACACGTTCAGTACCCGCGTACACTGTCCCAGTGTCTGCATAAATGCAACTGGCCCCAAATCAGAGCTGCCAGTGGTTCTACTGCTGACCACACAACACCGCTCACTGGGCTTAAAGGGGGCTGGCTGGCTGGCTTGAAATGATAAGTAGGTATCAACATAGGAACAGACACCCAGCAGCAAGTAGCATGGAGCTTCTCTGAAGTCTGGAAGCAGGGAGAGATGCACAAGGTTACAGTTAGACAGCTCATCTCATCTCCTGCAGCTAAATCCGCATTATCATTCCTCTTTCACCATGCTGCCTCCTCTCTTGGGCTTCACATCACCCGGTGCCTCCCTGAAGCAGTGTTGGGTTCTGGCAGCGCAAAGCACATCTCAGGGGGACATTCTTCTGAAGAAACGAAAGTCAAACGTCCCTCATGGATGCCTGAGGAAACGCAGATTCCACTAAGCGCTTTATTCGTGTTTTTGAAATGCTTCCTAGACATAGCCTCCCCATATTTTGTTTCCTTGTTGTAAAGCATGTACCATGCATTAGCGCTAACTGCTTAACATCAGACTCTCTGCCAAGGTGTTAAAATTTGTTATTTGTTATATTGTTAAAATAATGTATGTGCATGCTTAATATCAGTTTTCATCAGGAATACTGTTACCTGGTTATATAAAACTTAACAAGGAAGGAGAAAGCACTGTATTCTGCAATAGCATTTTAATAGTTACTCTTATCCTCACGTCTGTCTAAAGAGCTCAAGGCTATTTTTCTTTAGTCTGCCGTTGCATTGCTCAAAGGTAAACAAACCACCACCTGCCTTGAGGCTCCTCAGTGCTCTGCAAGGCCTTGCTGTGCAGCTCTGCTCACTCCATTGCTCAGTAGAGTTAGCAGCGATTCCCCTAGGTACCTTGTAGGGAAGAGTAAGGGTTACCTCTTCACTTGGGAGGGCAACCAGGATGGAGCAGGGTGGAGAACAGGAAACTGAGGGACTCCCCAAAGAAAAAGCTACTCAGAGAATGCACGGTCACAGTATCGGAGCGGTTACCTAGATGCATTTTGTTATGCAGCTAGGAGCCTACGGCTGAATTAGTGTTTCGGTTAATAAACATTGACTTCTTAGTAATGCTGCCATGTTTTAGGCACCTGTTTGTGTTAAGCCGCCTCATTGACTTGACAGGAGAGGAGAGTCATCCACGTTCATAATGTTACTTCCCTTCTACTCACTGGCTAGCGTCCTTGCTACTAGCAAAGGCTACTTGAATATGCATCTGAATCTTTAAAACCCACTGGTTAAAGCTTGCTGTCCTCCCGAACAAGCTTTTTGGGCTTGCAAAGCTACAAGAATTCCTGCAGATTCCCCATTCATGGCTCCCAGATTACAGCAGTATCTGTGGTTGCTGTTTGCTGTCTGCTCCTTGAGGAGCTGGGAGTATCTTGCTGGAGGGAAGATTTCTTTCCTGGCATCCTACCAAATCTACCTCTTTTTCCCCTTTGACTGGACAACAACATGTTCTTTGGGAAAATGATCGCTTGAGAGTCTCAGCTGACAACAGATGTGTACACCATCTCTCTCGCTCTTTCCCCTTCATTTATTTTACTCTGGTTTCTTTGTCCTCACCCTCCTAAATCTATCCTGTGTGGATTGTTTTGAAGGTTCATTGTAAGCAGTAAAGAGGCATCTTTGAGAGTTGCTACCCTGAATTTAAAGCACAGTATAGTAAGAGACAAGGATGCTTTGTATGGCAACATGGGAAGGGAAGGGATGCTTCAATGACAAAGTTCTAAGATTTACAGAGTCCTTTGTTCAAGTCTGCTTTGCAAGATTGTTTGTATGATGTACAGCCGGTTGTGTCAGCTCAGCCCCTTGAAGGTCCTTTAGCTATTGCTCCGTTTGGCCTGGAATGCCTAAAGCTTCCTGTATACTATGCAAAACGCCTGCCTTTGCCTTGCAGGAGTGAAATGCTTGGGAGAAGAGGAGGTCTCAAGTACGTAAGTGCTCTGCCTGGTGCATCTTCCTGATAAGGCAGGGATGGGAGCATCTCCTGCTGCCAAGTCAGTTGCTCAGGAAACCCATGGAGGGGAAGGGCTCCAGATCACGCTCTCCAACACTTGATCTGAACTTTATTCTGTGCTCTGAGCGTCAGCCAGTATCACACCTGATTTGAGAGACCTTCTTCAGCATCTCTGGGGAGCTGATCTGAGCTCATAATGCTGTTGGGTGCTGTCAGGGCTGAAGTGCTTTTGGAAACGCAGACCAGGGAAATGAAGGCACTGGGAGGACCGAGGGCTGGACAAAGGCTGAGAAGCACCTGTGAAATGATCAGTGGTGTCTACATGGAGGACTTGGGCACCTAGCTGCACTTAAGGATCCTGCTTCCCTTCAGTCCATATTCCCTCTTGTAGACAGGGTTACAAAGAACAGAGAAAAAGAAAATAGAGAAGTGATACCACTTGCTACGAGAAGTCGTTGAGAAGCTATTGATGAGCTGTGCCCATATTCTGCAGCAGCACAATCCGTCTTTTGAGCAGAAAGGTAGAAGTGTTTGTGTTTGCAGTAACAGCATGCACAGATGACTTAGACTCTCCACCACAGACACGTCCAAACACCATTGTATCTGAAAAGTGTTTCTTCTTTGCTTCTTATTTACTGACCACTTATCAGACTGAGCATTTCTCACCTCCAGCTTTGGTGCAGGCTCCCAGCAGGTTGACTACATTCAGATGATGTCCTATATGGATGAGGATCTTCAGCTCAGACATTAAAGCCTTGCACTCATTAGTAGTTGCACATTCTGCTTAAGATAAACAGGACAAAAACATATTTACACAACAGGATATTTTTAACAGGACACAGCAAGATCCTGTTTGTACTTGAAAATGAAACCCACCCAGGTTACTTGCAGTATCTTTGCCTTTCAGACTCCTAAACAGATAAGAATTCATCTGCCTCGCTCTCTGTTGACCTTTATGAAGTGAAATAACACTTTATCTTTTGAGTGACTCTTCCTTTCCCGAGCGTGGGTTACAGAGGGTTACTGTCCTGTAGGAGAACCCCACCCCACCCCAATCAGATAGCAGAGAGCCTTTGCAAGGACTGAATTTTGCAAGCTGAGTAAAGGAGCAAACAACACCCCAAGCAACAATAACACATAGGAAAAATATGCTCCTCCTTTTTAAGTGCTGTGTAGTTTAGCAGTACCTCTTTGGAACACCACAGTCTATTTTTCCACAGTGCAGAGCAGCTCTCCACTGTGGGTGATGAAGGAGTCCAACACATCTGTAAGACGGGTCCCAAAATATACTAGAGAATGTACAGCAGTATGTGTTCTAGCAGAACATTACTAAATCTTTGTCATGTGAGATCTTATCCACCCAAGAAATACATTTCCCAACAAAGCAGAGAAGGTTCACATTTGCATGTGAACCATTAACTCAACACTTAACGAAGCATTGGTTAGCCAGATTGAAAAGGAACTATCTGAATTACATAAACATTCCCTCATAGTTTGTCCCGTTTTCTGCATCATTTGTAGTTCAGATGCTGGCTTGTTTCTACTAACATCTTTACAAAACTTTCATGATCAAAATGAATTTAATAAAAGGGACTGTGGCCTGTTTTCCCTGTATATCATCTGTTTCTGCCTTTGCATTATGTAAGATTTAAAAATGAAGAAATAGTTACATCATAAATCACTTGATGAGACAAACTTAACCTCCTTATCAGTTCGCAGAATTCTCCATAAACAAATTTTCCACCAACTTATGTGTCATAAAGAAGGGGCTATTGCAAAGCCAAGATTTCTTCAGTCAACTGTTTTTGTACATGGGTGTATCTCCGTTGCCTTCAGTGGCATTGCTTCTGATTTACACTGGCATGAGCTGGGACACATGCCTAGTAAAATCCAAACAGAACAGCCTCTGAAATGCTCCAGATAATCTAGTTCATTAAGATACTGCCTTCAACCCAGGACAGATACCAGCATACTTCACAGAAATGACAGATATGCCGGAATTACAGTAATGCATCCATCTCCAGAGCTTTTTTTAAAATCCTTTTTTAATTTTTTTTCCTGAATGGATTGACTCATACTAGAGAATCCGGTTTATTCAGGAAAACGCTGACTTATGGACATGTTAGCTGGGGAAGGCCAGGTTAGAGCAGGAGGCTGCTCTCTTCACTGGAGGAGAAAGGCATAAAATTAGATGAAGGAATTGTCAGAGTTTACTGAGTGTGTGCAGGTAGGGTACAGTTGTTATGAGGATCAGCTGACAAACACAGCGTGGAAGTAAATGAAAACCAGGAGCTATCCAAGGCAGTAAGATTTTGATGGAGAGGGCGGGGAGTGTGGATGGATCAGTGGCTCCTAGGATCTTTCAGGGCAGGATCTGGAGATGGGCGTGGGAGTGGAACGAACAACAGCAGAGGAGAAGGTGACCTGAAGATCTATTTAGTGATGCAGAGAAGGGGGACCAGGCCCAGAGGAGGTCCAGAAAGGCGACAAACAGATGGATTTTGGCACTTCAAAGAAATGGGAGGTTAGCAGAGCAGCAGGAGAGGCAGCTGGCAACAGAAGCCAAATACTGTGATGTAAGAGAAGTTCCTGAATTATGGCATTGCAGTGGTTAATACATCATGCAGCAGCAAAACAGAGCAGTTTGGGCTATGCAAAGACATTCAATGACCAGCGTTTGTACCTTTGACAAAATCCAAAGCGAACAGCTAAAAAACTCCAACCCGAGTAGTCAAAGTGCTGGCTGATGTATTTATTCATAAGCTGCCTGCAGAGTCTTTGTATGTAAATGTAATATGAAAGAATAGTCTCTTAAGTTCACCCTTTCCCCACCACTGAATGGTAAAAGCGTTCCTTAATTTCAATAATTGCAAGCAAGTTGTCCCTAATTCACTCCCTTGGCACTGCTTTTTTTTTCAGCCCCTTGAACTGTTCTACATCTGGAAGGGCTGTGATCGAAGCCTTAGATCCAATTTCAGACTATCTAATGTAATTACATTCTGTAATCTGCTTCCCTCCTAACCCCACAGACCTGGAAGCTGCCATTTTCCTCCTCTAGGAATACAAGACCTAATCAGCAGCACAGCTTGGAGCCCGCTTGTCATTTCCTACACATTAACATGCACTGTATAACGACTAATTGCTCCCATATGGCAAACCCACTCCCTTCTGAACACAATGAACTTGGGACTGGTTTGGAGCTGAGAACTGAAAATCTTCTTGCCAACAGGTTCCCTGAGGAGTCTTCTGATTCTCAGAGGGATATGTACCTTTAAGCATTTTAACAGCAACTGTTTTGCAGGTTGAAGATTTATCAATGCCAAAAGCAGACGCTTCCACCACCTTCCCAAAAGCACCGTGACCCAGTGTTTTACCTAGAGAAGCAAGAGTCAAGAGTGAGCCAAGGGGGACTTACGACAGTCTGCATCAGATAAGAGGGATCATGCATTCTCAGCTATGCAAGAAATATAAGACTCCAAAGCCCAGGCACAGCACAGACCAATAGTCAATAGAAGCCTGTATCACATATTGCAGTATATGTATATGAACGCTACGGTTTATATCCATATGACTTTAATGCAATACAGTATGTGATAGAACAGAGTAGAATAAATAAATCTGGATTCAGCTGGAGGCAAGGCTGAACATATATCAATGACATAAGGGCAAAAACATTACATGTAGTTATCCCCGAGCCCAGGAAAATCAAAGTTAACATTGAACATGGTATTGTGGAAACCTGATCTATCATGAATCCCAATCACGGAGAGAGCCAGTCAAGGCTTTCAGGCAGTCTGAACCCTTTAACCCTTCAGTTATTGACATTTATTTGACATAAAAGCTATATTAAATGGAATTTAAGCTGATAATCTTCTTTATTTTCCCTTTCATTTGAATGTTCCAGCCCATATTACCTAGTGTGCTCTGAACCACAGTGCAGCAGGGCACGCTAGGCATCATTGTCTGACTTTCTGGTCCTGCCACTTTGTTGCTGTGACCCACCATCCTCCCATGCTTATTCATCTTTGTCTTTCTTTCTCCTTCTTCCATCTTTCCCAGCTAAAGCAGCATGAGCACACACTAATACACAAATATTCTGTGCGCACATTGTCGCACACAGGTGCTGCTGTTTCCCTGTGTAAATGCAATCTATTTTGCACATTTCCGTGCTCCATCATCCCTTGGGCTGACCTCCTGAATGAAATTCAGTTCATTTTTTAAAAAAGACTTTTGTTAAAATGACTGCGCATTTTTCCTGTCTGTTCTTTACAACTCAAAGTCAAGTTCAAATGATCAATACAGAATTGAATATTTGATGAATTGACGAGTTTCTTCCAAAGAAAACTCACTGAAAGACTGTGCTATTTAAGATTCACTTCCCCTCCCCTTGTCCTCTGTTGGAGCGAAACCAAGCTCTTGACAGGGAGGGTACTTGGAACACTACCTTTCTTCTCTGTCAAGAGCTTGGCTTCACTTCTTCAAGATACGAGAAGAGGCAATGACTATTTTGAGAGATGGCGTCTTCACTTTTCCTACCAAATACCTAGTCTGACCCCCAACAAGGATGATCTGGAATTCTGTGCCTCACTGCCAATTCATCCCCCTGGATGGGAGTTCACTGGCACTAAATGGTAGGTTGTTTCTTGGGTTATGCAGCCAATCCACTGAAACCTAGGACCATTAGAAAGCATCATTCTTTATGGTAGGAATACCCAAACCACTCACCCAGCCGCAGTCTGTCTCTTGGGAACTCCCATTTGCTACTGTCATAGGGAAGACGATCACACTGCTCATCAAGAGGCATTTCCTCTGGATCCATTATAATTGACAGGTATCCTGTTTTAATATCTGTGGCATCAGGCTAAAAACAGGGCGTGGAGAAATTATTCACAATATTTACTCTGCAATTCTGATGGGAGAGAGCTGTCATCTAGAAGACTGAGCGCAAGCTGGAGAATTCCCTGAATTCTAGTCCTACCTCTGAAATTTATTCTGAACCATCGAAGCATCTTTTCAGCTTCCTGCCTCTCTTTTTTTTCCTTCATCTGGGAAATTAATGTTTATATATGCCTGCCACTTGCGGGTGTTCAGAAGAGTCACTGATTAATGTTGGTAAACACTCCGAGGACACAAAATCCATCACTGTCTTCTACCTGTATCTATTAAAGGAACCCAGTGCTTTTTATGGGGACTCCATGAATTCGGCTTTCTGATGCCCTGCTGAGCACGTTCTGCTGCATTTTGGCAGTTTACCAGCATTTTGCTTTGCAGAATCATCAGAACGCTACGTGATTTTAAAATTGATAAAATGTGGAGCCTGTTCTCCACAGTTATCCCCTTCATAGCTATTGCCTATTCTAATTCAAAATTAGTGTAAAGCTGGTGAAAACTGCTACTAGTAATGCTGCTTGGTGAGAAACTGTGATTTGGTGGGACCTGTAGACCAATTCAGATGAGTGTAAAATTTAATAGGAAATTCACTGTTCACAAGTCTGTTAAACTGGATGCAAAGAGAGAAAATGTGAATTTAATCACTATATTTGCAATACAAGGGGAAATTTTATTCAAGTGTTAAGGATCAGCACTATGACTGTAGTCTGAGTGAGTTTCAGAGCAGACACCAATGGTTTCCACTCTATTTACTGTTTGTTTTAGGAAAAACAGACTTAAATTTGATTAATTTTATCAAATGCTCCATGGAACTTTACTGAAACTTTTTCAAGCCACAAAAGGGAAGTAAAGACAAAGACAAAATAAACTGTGTGGTTTGGGCTCACTTGTAGAACAAACATCCTAAAACAGTTCTTAAAACAGGGCTTCCTTTGCTAGGTATATTTTGGAGAAATCTTATTAGACAAGTGCTGAAATCAAGCCCTCATTTTAGGGGATTAAGGATTTCATTTGGTCTCCTAATCTTGCAAGCCAATTTGACTCATAGAAAGGGAGGAGCCTGATTTTCTGACACCAAGGAAATGGTTAGAAATCTCACAAATACAAGTGACCTCTTGAGATGTCAAGGGACTATCAGCAGAAATCTGGACTGCAACTTTTTAGGAACATTTTGCACAGTCTTTTTACCATCTATCCCAGACATTCACACTGGCTTGACTTCAGCCCTAAACTGATGCTATGCCTAGACTAGATCCAATCCCAGAGCCTTTGCACAATATGGATGCTTTCTTACTTTTCTCAGTTTCCGAATGAAAAGGGTCAGAAGAAGCCAGAAGAGGGTAGCTGCTAGACCAGTGCAGACCAAAATGATAACTTCAATGTTGGATTTCTCTTCAGAACCTGTAGGTTAAATGTACAACCGGATTTTAAATTTAGCCGTAAGACTTTGACAGAGTAATAGTTCTCATTGGTCCAACACAATATATGCATTTTACCTTATCTTGGATCTCACCTTGTATTTTAATAAAGGCTGATGTGCTATCTTGGCCCATGTCATTGGATGCCTTGCATTCATAGAGCCCTTCATCATCCTTTTTCACTCGCTCGATGACCAGGGTATTATTTTCCATGGAAATTCCTGTAGTGAAGGATTTAGGTTAATTTTATCACAATGACCTATCTGCCTTCAAGTGCTGTTAGGAAGCAGAGCGCTGAAAGTGAGGTCACATCCATGCAGCTCTGGCAATGATCTGTGCTGAGAGCCACTCTAATGCTATATACTCTTCCCTATGGTCCGGCAACGACCTTCCCTGCCATTTGTTTTCTCCTCAGTGCCTGCATAAATTGTTTGGAGATCATTTAACCAACAGCAAATGCGGCTGTTAATTTATCCTGAGCAGACAGAGCCTGACAAAACTTTTAAAGAAGTTAGTGGGATGCTCTGATCAACAACAATGGGAGCAGGATTGGATCTGAAAGGAGACTGCTGGCACAGGCACCTCTCTGCTTGACTTATGGCAGGCCTCGAGGTGATATTATGCCTGGCTCTTCTATTAAGACCAAGTACTTCAGACCCACACTGGTATCAGCAAACAGTGACTGTGTGTTAGCGGGGCTTTGTGCTGTGTAATTCTCGCTGAGTTCTTTGGCATCCCAAGCTTTTGGAAGGCACCATCTTACTCCCTTTTCTGCAGGCCTGTGGGAAGCTGGTTTTCTGATAGCCTCATGAGTAAAGATTACAAGATACAGTGGAAGAAAAGGAAACTCTTGGAGAAACTCCTGGAGAAAGCTGATGTCTTGGAGGCTGTGGGAAGTGAAGGCCGTTCTAACACATAGAAAATCAAAAACACATTAGACACATCCCTGGAGAAATCACTGCAGAGAGTAATCCTGAATTCACAGAAGGCCACCGGCCAGAGATGGAGTAGGAAGAGGGATGTGGCCTAGGTATCACTTAAGCAAGGCTTTTCCGTATTTATTGTTCTTGATTCTGTGGCACAAAACTGAGAGATCATCTGTTTCACTAAGAATGTGTTTGGAGCAGAAACAGGGGAACAGACAGGGCTTTGAATCCAAAAGGGAAGCACATTTTGAGTTGCTGGGTGTCCCACCCATGAATTCTGTTGTTGTTAACAAAAGTACTGCACATAACTTGCCATGCACTGTGCTGAAATATTTACCCTGAGGTGTTTTTTCCAAATATTTTATTTATGTTTCCATTGGTTGGATGAGTTACATGCTTGTCCCTCTAGAATTATTTATAAAATTTCAGTAGCTATAAAGAGTTTCTGCTCAGAACAGTCTGATCTGAATTATGGATGATCCTAGATTTCCTACCTAGCTCAAGATGCAAAATTAAAGTCACAGGACTAGCTACTAACACTGGTTTCTCCATGATTTAGAGAAGATTGCAGGACAGAGAGATCAGAAGGAATTCCAGGTACAGAAAAGGGAGCCTGTGCTCCCTGCCTGTGGCAGCTCTGCGCCAGTGGAGCTGAGAGCACATTCTCATTACTGTGTTGTGGGAAATAAAGAAATGATGTGTGATATGCGACAGCAGAGTGAGGGACCTGACCATTAGGGTGACTGCCCTAACAACTTGCTGCAATATGGTCTGATCAGGCGCCAAGGATATCTAATAATTCAGACTCGTGTTTTCAGACCCACCTGACAATCAGATACATTCTGTCTCGGTTTTGTACACAACATGTTGTCTTGCAGAAGCAGACTGCACAGCAGCATGCTGTACTCCTTGGTTTCACTAATGCTATGCTAATGTATGCAGAGTATCTAGCTGACTCTGCAGGCACGAACACTACCACTTGCAAAAGGACAGCTGCATAAGTAGGCATTGGGTTGCAAGTAGTTGGCAGCTTTGACCTCAAAGTCCAAGCTGAGACTACTGCAGTGGTCTGATATTTTTAGATTTGCGCTTGTGTTTTCTGGGGTCATGTATACCACTCTGATTCAGCAGTGCTTGAAGAGGCCGTGGAGCTGTAGGTCCCATATTCGCGGCAAACCTGGCAGTCTGTTATCATGTGCTACGTACTGTCCTGTGGCACTTGCGCAAAGTGAGTGCACTCACCTGATGCTGCTGAAATGGGATAACCGTTTTTCCTCCACGTGATCTGGGGCTCTGGCGTTCCACTGACTCTGCACTCCAGAATGATCTTGCCACTGATGTTAACCTCCAGATCTGTGAGGTTTTGTATAATGTATGGTGCTGCCTTTGCTATAATCACAAAGTAAAAAATACACAGTAAGTTTTCAGAAGGCACCTCTTACAGCTCTGCTTTCTCCTCTCCTTTGACCACCTGCATGGCCTTTCTGGGCTGGAAGTGGCAAAGATTAATTGATAAGGGGTTGCAAAACCCCCCAAAAGATTATGGGAGGAAAAGGCAAGTTCATTTTGCTTATTTTCAAACTGACTAAGCCTCAGTTTAGCTCCAGCTTGAACCTGCTTGAGTTTCCTATCCTCTGAAAGAAACAGAGGACAGTGAGTGGGCAGAGCAACTGCAGAGTGAATACACAGAAAGGAGGGAGGAGGCAAAGAGGAAACAGATCTAAGGATTTTGTGTTTTTCTCCATCATGAGTGCAGTCATCTACCCACCATAAAAGCACGTTACTTCCACTTTGTGTTCGCTTATAAAAGATACAGAAAAGCAGTGAATAAAACCCTAAGCATAGCATAAAAAATGCATACAACCTGTAATAAAAAGCGTGGCTAAGGCGTATTAATACCTATAAAAAAATGATCTAAAAGTGAGTTTGTACAGGGGAAGGAAAACTGGCTTGGAGGGGTGTTTCCATGTATGTTTTCCAGAAAAACTGCCTGTCTGACATGTACCAGACAAATAACAAACGCCAGTAATTCTTACAAGAATGTGATTAAGATTCCAGTTCTCCTATGGATGAGTTCCCAGTCTAGCTGTGTTTTTCCCGTAGCCATCATGTGTAGGTGTCATGTGTAGGTGGAAAATTGACTGCATGAATAAAAATATCTGCCAGGGGAGAGGAAAGCGAATTACCTGAATGCGGAGTGCCGCGAAAGCCCAGTGCCCCCATGGCAGATGATGCCGACAGGTGGCTCAGATCCCAGCTGTGGGGACAAGCCAAACCACTAGCAGTGTGTAATGCAAGGGTGAGATCCTTTCCCCTCCTCCGTACTTCAGGAAGAGGCAGGTGCTCATGCCATTTCTTAAAATAAATCACTTCCCACTCAGGTATCGGAGCCATGCTAGCCACAGCTGTGGCGTGGGTGAACATTTTCTTTATGTGTGTGCGCCTGTGTGGAGGGGGAAGGGACTGTGAGCGTGTTGTTGGCTGCGCTGGGTAGGAGACTGCATTGGAAATGTGCTTGTTCACTTAGGCAAGAACGAAGCCAGCCCTGCGTGGCCTGGTTTTAACCTAAGTGACGAGGGCTCCCTGCAGCATCGCTGTCCCTTTGGCGTCGCATTACCCATTAATGTAAGCGGGGAAGCCAAGTTAAAAATCAGCGTTAAGAGCTGATCACTCTCACTTTCTTCACTATGAAGCAGAAGAAATTTCTGCTGGTGTAGGCCTGGAAGAAGTATTTCCTGCGCTTTATATTCACATATCTGAAGAAATCAGGCTTCAGGATCTACGCTGTTACTATTGTTGTGAAAATGGAAAAAAAGAGTTGGGAGTTTGGGCATAAGTAAGAAAACGCTATTCTTGCAATGAAGTGCATTCCACTTACCCAAAATAAATGATATACATCACTTGATTATATATTTGACCAATAACATTTGTGATTACATCTGCTAGGCCCAAATCTATAGGTATGCATCCATAGGGGTCTGTATAATGTTGGCAGCTGTAAAGGGGTGAAGTCTTCTAACAAAGTCATATAGATCTATGATGGCAGTCCCAAATGATAGAGCTGTGCTGTTAATAACATGATGGGTGATGTTTCTCCCCTCAGTCAGCGATAAAGCTGCATCAGCATTGAGTTAGAAAAATAAAATGCTGCTGAAATCTCCTTTCTGTGCAAGTGAACATTTTATACAAAAACAACAGCGGCTGGATGAGTAATCCCATGACTAGGTGTCAGTCCTCACTCCACAATGTGAAAAAAACCCCAAATACAGAGCACAAAGTGTATATTAGGACTGTTCCCGAGAAATACTGAGCACCTTCTGCTCCCCAAAGCATCAAAGGGGACAGTAGATGCACAGCACTTCTGCTCATAATACCTTTATCCTTGTCTCCTGGCAGGACCTACCTTTGACAAGGAGCTGGGTGTGCTGTTCGAGCGTGTCGGTGGTATTGTGCTGGTTTTGCGCTCTGCACTTGTAGAGGCCGCTGTAGTCCTTTGTGACGTTATTAATGACCAGTGTCAAAGAAATGGAGTAGTTGTCAATTTTCTTGATCACCGAGTCACTGAGAGCCACCTTGGAGGAGGGGTAGTACCAGGCCAGGTTACTGTACATGTACTTGGAGGCCCTGCAAGTCAGTTGAACGTCATTCCCCACAATGGTCGTAATCTTTGGGTTTGCTTGCAGACCAAAGGGCACATCTAGGAGGAAGAGAAAATATGTTTTCCATTAAGGCACATCTGAGAACGTCTTTGGCTGCCTGTTTTCAACTTGGTGGTCAAATGTCAAAGAGCGGTCGTAATGGGGTGAGCCAAATTTAAATGAGACCTGCATTTGCATGTGCAAACAGGCACTTGTGCCTGTGAGTTATGTGACTGACTGTATCTTTCACGTCACAACACAGACTTGGGGTAATTTGGCGCTGAGTATTCTAATCATTATATTTTCAAGTAATTAATTGAAAGTTTATATATAGAATTAGGTAATGGACTAAGAGAGTTTAATCAAGAGAGACTGCTATCCAAGCAGATAAATGTGTGTCCATGAGATGTTCTCTCTCTATCTGCAATCAGTGCTTAAAAGTATAATTATATAAGAATAAAGAAACCTAGTCACGTTTCTCAGAAGTAACACTGTCTTTCTTTACCACTGAGCAATTTCCCAATGCTTTCTTATTTCAACTATTCCAATATTTGTTTTCATCACGTGTTCCTCATTGGTATATACTTGCTCACTGCAAGGATTAACTGATCTGATGATGTATAAATCCTGGAGGCCTTAATATTTAATAGAGGAATAATTGGAGGCGTAAGTCCAATCTATCCACAAAAGAATCAGCAGCTCCTTGCTATATTTTAGTAATTTTTTACTCCAGAAAAACCTCAGTTTTCCTGAAGTGCCAGACTGAATCCCTTTCAAGAAAAGAAAAAATATTTCTAAGTAAGAATCCCAGAAACTGGCCAACAGACATGTTCCTATCACTACTGCATTAGCCATCAGGGACCTATAATTAAATTATATCTGAAACGTATTCTCTTCCTATTTTTATTCTGTTAGTTTCAATGATCTATCCATCCAGCAGACTTGAATGAAAGTGCATTGATAACTGCAGTGACCTTGCAATTCTTCCTCTTCCCTCTGTTAGAACATGATTTTGAAGCAGCTGAAATGGAGAGTTACCAAGAAGCCATTGTAAATTTTACCTGAGACCTAGTACTGGGATGACACTCTTTGGGAAGACTGGTTCTGGATTACCCTCTGAGTATGAGGGGCATTTGCAATACATCTGACAGATCGTTGCTTTAGTGCCAAGCTCTTAATAAGATGCTTTCTCAAACTATGATGAAATGGATGGTACTTTGAGAAGGACAGAAGTTAAAGAGGAGCAAGTATGCATTGCACTTGCAGTCTGACAAATTCCACATGGGAGCTGGAATTTGGCCAAGGGCTTACACTGCAAACTCTTGCAAAAAGTACTGTGGAAGCTACAACTGAGCATTAATAGTGAGGCTGTTGAAATAACCAATCTGCCTTATAATACACCATATATTATATGTAATACAGAGCCCTGGAGGAGCTTTCCGATATGATTAAAAGTCTTACTCCTTCACAGGTCATCTAGAATGGAACCAATAAGCTTTACTTCATGGTTTTTAAAGACTGGCACCAGAAATGTTTTACAAAAGATCCAAAAAGAGAAGAGACCTCTCAGGCCACTGCTGTGGAAATTGTTATTTTTCTCTTCTTCCCTTTTGCATGAAATTTTGATTTAGTTTATGCAGCATTTTGTTAGCCTCAGTTGCTTTATCTCTTGCTTTCTGCTAGCTGCATGCTCCAACTGACTTGTGGAATGCTTCCATTCCTCAGGTCTGCTGTCACTGTCCTGTGGTTCCAGCATGCCAAGATGACGCTTTTCAAGAAGGGGGAAAAGTCTGAGGGCAACAGAACTTCTCTAAACAGGAGTGATTAAAGTCCAGTGAAAACTACAGTATGTGGCATGGGCAGCAGCTCTCCTGAATCCTTCACAATGTTTAAATGAAGTCCAGAATACAGTCCAGCCAAGCGTGACTGAAAAGTAACCTTCCCCTGATCTCTGGAAGTCCCTGTGTGCTGTCTGCTGGAAGCTCAGAAGAGAAATAGGGGAAAAGTGCCCTCTTTACTTGCCCATTTCTTATATACTTTTCAAGTATTTCCTGTACCAAGTTAGATGGATCTTTGGTCAGGCTCAGTCCTTAAGTAAGCTCAGGAGCCTGGGATGTGCAATTTCCGTCCTTGGAGTTTTTCAAGATTGGACTAGAGAAAGCTCAGGGTGATCTGCTCTCACCTTGCAGCTGATCCTGCTTTGAGCAGGAGACCTCCTGAGGTCCCTTCCAGCCTCAATTACCTTATGATCCAAATTGCTGCGTCTCAGTGAAAGTACAGAGGGATTCCAGAGGAAGTAGTGAGGTTGCAGCTTGGTCACGTTGCCCAGAGCTGTGAAGCTCTGCAAAACATGCAAGGCAAGCTAAGGCTTGGCTGTAACCGTTTGCCCTTGCTTCTGCCTCTCAGGAAGCTGTTTCTTCAGGAGACTGTATTCTTACAACTCGCAGCCCCATTTGTTTTGCAAGGTGAGTTTCCCCGAATGGCTGTGGGGGAAAGCCTGCCCTGGGGGAAATACTGCAGCTCTTGTATAAGGCTCCTGTATAAAGTACCGCCTGTCACTGGCAGTGACAACATGGGCTGGAGCACCCAGAGATCTCTAACACTTTTGTGTATGTTCTCAATGAATTTTATGTGTCAATTTGCAAGCTGAAATGTGAAGGTTGCTCGGTGTTTTAGCCTTGCTGCTGGGCTTTACGTGTGCAGGGTTTTTTCTACCAACTTAACATTCGGAGAGCAGAAGACTGGCTTGTTTTTCTTATCATTTCTTCTATAGACGTTTTTTATTTAGAATTTTGAATATTTTTAGCTGGGACTTGTGCTATTCTCTTCCATCTTGTTAGCCTTTCAAGAAGCTCTTTCTGCTCCAATAGAATATTCATCGATTTTCATTACAGTGGAAGGAAAGAGAGGGAAAAAAAATCAGTCTCTCTTGCTCTCTTTTCTCTTTCCTCCTCCTACCTGGATTGTCTGGGGAGTAACTGCAGCTTTGAGAGCACCTTATAAGTCAGTTCATCTCTTAGACTACTTTGCTTACACAGTCTTGAACCTCAGCAGTGATTAACTTCCTCTCTCTGAACAGATACAGTGTTTTATAAGACTCCTAATAAGTCGCCTAAAAGAATGCACCGTGGGGCCTTTTCTCTTTTATCAGCAGTTACCAAACATTTGTCTTTCATATTGTATTACAGTGTAGTAGCAGCAAATTTCACTCTAGACTGTGCGGGATTCCATGGCAAAATAGGGAAATGAGCCATTGGGGGAAGGTAAAAAGTCAGCATAAATCAAAAGAAAGTCTGGTTCCATTTGTATTTACAAGGAATTAATTGGCTTTAATTTCCTGTGCTTTGCACAATAATCTGTATAATTCAAAACTTCTGCTCTTTCCCAAATTCCATCCCGGTGCCTGTCAGGGTGGGGGGGGGTCTCCTATCAGGCGTATGCATGTATGGAGAGTGAGAAAAAGACAGGGTGAGCCCTACAATCTGAAACAGCACAGAGCTTTTCATAAATCCTGTAAACATGTCAGGAATAAACAAATGGAGAGTGGCAAGCAGTTGTAAAAAAGCCCAGTTCATACATTGTTCCACTATCTGATAGCAGATTCTTATCTGATATCTGAAAGATAATATTTTCTTTCTGGTAGAAATCTTTAACTCCATTTTTCTGAGTTGTTTTTGCAGTCAGATAAGAGTTGAAAAGGGGCTTTTGTTATTATTTGTTATTCTTTATCATAATTCATTTATATTCCAGGAATATTCAGAGGCTTCAAATGGGCGGGATCCCATCTTTTTGTATGGAGTACAATCATATAGGGCTAGAATTTGAATTACTGTGGACCTAGCGTATAGTTGCCCTTCACAAGGTGCAGACCAGAGATTAGAAGGTAAATAATCCTTGTGCATGGCAGAAACTACCGCTAGGAGATATCAGCTCAGGTTTTCGCTGCACTGGAAAGGTTGCAGGCTGCCTTGAGTGCTCCCTGGTGGTGGGCAATGACCTGAGGCAGTTCGGAGCATCTGATGGGTCGCCCATATCGCTTCTGCCCATGATAAAATAGTAATATGAGTTAAGTGGGAACACTGGTGTCAAAGCTGCAGTAGGCAGGATATCCAGGAGAGAGCTTCTCTTTCAACAAGAAACTGTAAAAGGGATTTGCACAGACAGAACAGAAATACTGGAATAAGACTTAGGCCAGGGCAGTAGGGATAACACCTCTACTGCATTAGTAGGGGAGTTTCTGTTGCCATGAGCAGCTTTAGGAGAGCTTCAGTGGGCCATCAACAGTCAGGACATCTGCAGAAAGAGCTTAGAGAGGCTTTAGCTGTGTCACTGAATGATAAGATTTCTCATCTCACTGGACCCCTTATATGGTTTGGTTTCAGAGTGATCTCCAAACCCTGGTGACCTTTCAGTGAAATGCATTCTGCTGGCAAAGAAATGCTTTAAAAATAGATATCAGCGCTATTTCTAGCGTCTGTGGGAGTTTTTGAGGGGGCGCTGCAATGGAAGAACAAATTGGCTGTTGTCATTATTCCATTGGGATAAATATATTTTTCTGGAAATACAGAAGAGAGCTGTTTCCTCACAGAGCAGGTGCAGCCTGGACAACACCTGCTCAAGCTTCCCCGTAACTCTCTACAGTGTCCTACCAAAACATTTTAACCCCAACCTAGTGGGGCAGGCTTTTAGGGGAAGAAGGGAGTTACACCTCTATAGCACCTCAAGATTTCTTAGCGGAGACATGGAGGTTAATTAACCTCAAGTCTGTCAAAAAATTTGAAAGTGACTCAAGACCCATCATATTTTTTGTCAGTAGGAGATAATTAGAGATCAAGATTTCCAAGTCAGCAAATTGCTGAATTAACTGTGGATTCCCACAAGCTGATTTCCAGAAAACAGAGCGTAGTTGACTGTGAAGTGCCAGGAACATTTGCTAGACATGGTCCTAAAGGCCCACACATTGCTTGTGCGCTCTCAAACCCTAACTCAGCCTTTGCTGTCAGCTTTCATGTTCAGTGCACATAAAGTTAATCAGCCTGGCAGTCGTAAAATGCTTTTCTTCTCACCTACTACTCACCAAGAAGTTCCCAAACTGTCAGTTTTGTAGCAGTGACTATATCAGAAAGACTCAAAACTTGAATTTTGAGGCAGGATCTCCGACAGCGTGCTGTTACGGGATATTCTGTCACCTCTGCCCAACATATATGCACGTGCAGCAAACCTTTTACTATCTTGGCAAATCTGGCCCGCTCAGCCTGCTTATGACCTTTTGCTTATGACCTTTTTGCTTATGGCTTTTGGACTCCCCTGGCTGAAATCTGACAAACTGTCCCAAAATGTTCCTCCAACGCTGACAGTAGATGGCAGCTCTCGGTGAGAGTAGCCTGGCAATCACTTGGCATCCTCTGAGTGCACCCACTAGAAGACAGTGCTGTTTTTCCATCTGTGAGGCAGATCTTCAGCAGCAGCTCTTTTGGCAGACAGGCCATTTGTTGGAGTAACATGTATTACTCAGCGGAGACCATCACATAAAGAAGCAAAGGAGGAGGTCACTCTGGTGCTTGTTTTTTTTTACCACTCCAGCATGACCCATTTTAAGACTGGGATTCCACATTTAGAAAGATTTCATTTCTTTATCATCCATAAACATCACTATTTTTAAACACACAATTTATAAAAGTCAGTCGTACTCATTCAGCTTCTACTTTTCCCTAGGATGGCACAGTCCCACACTCTTCTCTTCAAGAGCAAGGCTATATCTTGTCTTGCCAAGCCCAGTTCACCTTCTGGTCTGTTTGAGGTGGAAAGGGAACATTACCACCATAACCACAGTCAGTAATTTTCTCCAGTGATTCATTTCTTTTATAATTAAAAAGGCATGATTAAAACACTTGTGTCTGAAAACATTACCAGCTTGGTCTGAAAATAAAAAATCGGAGATATTGCCTCATTGTGGGGGGGAAAAAAACGTACATAATTTGTGCCAGTTCCACTGAGAAGTATATTCTATCAAACAATCTTTCTCTAAAAGGCATAGAATGAAAACATAGTTCTGAAAGGTGCATAGATTGTCCTAACCCTTTGACATTGACCTTATTCTAGTAGTTGTCACGATGTTTGTTTTAGTCACTAAGTATTACAAAGTACTGCGAATAGCTTGGGAACATACTGCTTTGAGAAACCCATCCAAACATAATATCTGGCAGAGTTCAAAGCAGAAACAAGTCCTTGTGAAGACTCACTTGGAAGTGGTGAAGTGTAAAATTAATAGCTGATCTTCAGCCTGCCTTGGTCATCTTGGGGACCTCTTATGTCTGTGCTGTATCCCTCAAAAGTGCACCATGACAGGCTCTATCCTAGATAAGCTGAATTAGGATTGGGAGAAAATCTTTTGGAGGCTTAAAAACCTCTTCTGTCTCCATATGGCATTGTAGTAGTGCAAAAAAGCTGTAATCGGAGGTGAAATCTTCCCTCCATATGGCACTAGCCTCATTATCATTGGATGACAATTTTCCTATTAGCACTTCTGTGTAATAAGAACGGCAACAAGGTTTAGTGAGCACATTTTTGCTTAGCTCAATGTGAAATGTGCTGAAATACTTTAGACCGATGGAGTCAAGCAACACAGGATGCAAGAGAGTCAGGGGAGAGCACAGCACTGTCACTGGTGAGCTGTGCCCTTAGGGCTTCTTTCGTGGGGAAGAAACCACGTGGTGAGAACTGGACATTTACCTTCCAGGGCACTTCTGCACTCTTTGTTCTGAAAAGGGTTATTCTGATGCAAATTCTACCAGCCAACATCCACTCATCCAGAAAGTGAGCACAGAAGTGGTTCAGTTTAGTCTAGTTAAACATTTGAACAAGGCTCTCCTGGACTCCTCTCTTTTTTAAACTCCCGTCTCTCCTAAAAGCAGCATATGGGTCCTGATCTCACTACTAAGGAATTTCTGTGTTAAAAGGTTAAGCAGATATTTGTTTGGATTTGTGTTCTTTGGAGAAATAGCATGTCCACCTCTTCCCTCCCTAAAGGGCACTGGAAAGGCTAATGCCTCAGGCAGAAATCCAATGTCACAACAACTCTCGGTGATATCAGCAGCCCTGGATTAGGTCTGAATATTGGCCTTGCTCACCTTCACTGTGTCCACCGGCTTAATCAGAAACCGACCATTGTTCTGAGTCAGGGAGAAGCTTGAGGCCTTGCGAAGATTACAAAGGACTTTGCTTTTGCTAGAGGTTTCCTGAGGACAGTGCTCAAATGTCACGAGTGTTGCTTTAAGACATAGGCAGCTAGGCTCAGGGCCTGCATCTGCAGTTTGAAAAGGGGCAAAACTGGCATCAGGTCTGATGCTGGGCATGCCAGACCCAGTTGTATAGGGACACAGGACCCAACCTTGCATGTGGTGAAGAGCCCAGACTCTGTGTGATGTGGAGTTCTCTGCACACACAGCATCCAGGGATTCCCAAAGGTTTTAACCAGTACTCAACAGCCATATAAATCTTTTAGGAAAACCAGATCAGCAGCAGCAGCAACTAGATTTTGTGTAGTGTCTCTCATGTTGTTTACCTGAGACGTAGAACTCAATGCTCCTCTCTTCTGTGTCAATCTTGTTTGAAGCCACGCAATAATAGATTCCTGACGCACTGCTGTTTTCCACAGTTAGTGTGCTCACAATCTGCCAAGTGAAGAGACAAAATAGAAAAGGCTTTGAATGTAGTGTAGGCTTAGCAGAGAGGCTTGAGAGTAGTGGATAAATATATATTTTACGGCAGGAAAACTGCCAAGGAGCTTCTAGTAGTGAGTGAAGTTCACAAACGGACAAGTGCTTCTACCAGTTTCTTGGTCTCTCAGCTGACATCACCTCAGTTCAGATAATTCTCTTCCTTCCTTATTCCTAAAACCCTCCCCTTCTTCTTTTCTTCCTATCTATCTGCCCTGTGAAAAAGAGGGCTCCCTTTGCCATGCTTCCATAGTCTAAATGTGACAACATCAGCAAAGAGCCAAAGTGAAGGACCCCAAACATTCATCCAAGACACTGGAAATGTAGCCCCACATCCATCAATTTTAATTTCTGACATAAATGCTTTCCATAGGTTACAGGACACCCACATTTGCATGGGGAACGGGTCATTCTGATGGGTGTGATATAAGGAATGCTTCAGAGGTGTGCTTTGCAGTGATATACCCCCAGAGAAGGGAGGGATGTGACCCCTTTAGGCCTCAGATCACTCTTACATATTGTCCTTTGGAGACCCTTGATTCAATAACCCTTCCTCTGAGCCTCACCAGAACTTGTGCAATGCAGAAGGCAACCGCAGAGAAGCTGCCTGTGCGTGACACTTTTTGCAAATGCAGGAAGAAAGGGAGGTTCATGACCTGCAGGAGAAAGAAGGATCTCTTGTCCTGAGCTCCACCACACAGAAGGGAGCAGATCAGTTACTGAAGGGGGCTAAATTCAAATGTGTCCTTAACAACTTGTTTTCTGTAAGCAACCTAATGTCCCGCCTTGGTATAGGTGCTTCTTAATGAGCAGCCAGCCTGATGGCACTGCCCTAGCCCATATCGATGCAATGTCATAAGCTCAGGGAGGAATATCCACAGGTTGTGGCTTTAATTATTTCTGGTACTTCCTTTGTGCTGCTAGCAAGAAAGCAGGGTCTAACCCACCAAACTAGAGATGTTCTTGCAAGATTGCTTTGCTTTCCCTGCAGCCATTCACCTGAGGAACTCAGAGCCCTCACATTTGGAACAAATATCACTTTCTTTGCAGTCCTTTCTAAGGACTCTAAGAATCCAAACTTATAATACCCCCTGGCTCTTTGCCCTTATCTCCACAGACTGCTTTGATGTGCAGGAAAGCATCTCTGGATTTTGTTTTTTTTAATATCCTAAACTAAATTCACACAAGACATTCCTTTTCTCTTCATAAAGCTACAACATGATTGTGTCTCTAGCTGTGTGGGATGTATTTTCAGAGAGTTATTTAAGATT